TTTTTGTTTTTGGGGGCCAAGGGGGGGGGGGGGAGGCAGAAAAAGAAAACCCCAGCACCCCCCCCCCCCCCCCCCGTTTAAGCTGCCTCCATCAGGCATTCTGTCACAGTGATGACAAAGTCACCAACGTAAGCCCCCTGGCTGGTGCTTCTGTAAATTTACACTTTAGACTGTGTCCATTTCTTCTCTGGCCACCATCATGTTCTTGACACTGGGGGTCACACCTAAGTAACCCTCACAGTCATCAGGATGCTTGAACAATATGCACTGGTGTTCTTCACTGAGGAGTAAAGAACATCAAACCTGGCTCTAAACATAAAACCCAGAGCTCACAGCCCTGCCTGTACACGCGTGCAGCCGTCTCTCAGACACCAAATGTGGAGGTCAGCCAGCACCAAGCGGCCTTTGTCACCATGCCCAATCCCATTGTTACTATATTTGACAACAGCTGTAATTTACCAGCCAACTTTGGCCTTGGGGGAGGAAGGCCCACGTTCTCTTCCACATCTGGGATGGCTGTAAAACCCAGAGCAGTTTTGTCTGTAACAACAATATCTCCAAAATATCTGAGCTTCCACAAAACAGACAAGCAGACAAGGCAAAAACACCTCAGTCATGCAAGGGGGGTTGTTGAGGTAACGTAGTTACTCACTGTTTTTTCCCCTGTGTTTATACAGGGAATGCCCTGATGGCCAAAGGAATGGATAGGGCATACTGTTGTTCTGTTTCTCTTGTTTCTCTTCATTCTAAGGTAGGCCCATAGCTCTGTTAAATGTTCCAGTCCTTTCTGCTTGGATAACTCATCAGATGAAGTTTTAAGATTCTAGGATATACTCTTTACTTTTTCACATCGATCTCTTTGTGGGTAAGTCACCCTTCCAACATGAAGTCTAATATGAAATCAAAGGCTCTGAGTTGACTTTGATGGAACTCCATGTTAGGTAAACCCTTGCTGCATTTGCTAATGTTCTCACAGCCCTGACTCGATACCTAACAAAAGCAGCTTACGGATGTTTTGGCTTGTGGTAGAGTCCATCTCAACCAGGAAGGTGTCAGCTGGCCATACTGCACCCACAGTCAGGAAACTCGAGGGGTGGGTGCTGGCACTCTGCTCACTGTCTCCTTTTTATTCAGCTGAGAACCACAGCTGTGCTGTGCCACGGAACAGCACAACCTACATATAAGGGAGTTTTTCCCATCTGAATTAACCTCATCTAGATAGTCCCTCACAGTTGTGTCAGGAGGCTTGTCTCTTCAGTGATCCTGCCTCCTGTTCAGGTGATAATCAGCAGGAACCTTCTGACAAGTGAGTCAGAATCTAGTTCCCTCCCCTGATCAATAAGGACACCCAGTGGGGGCCAAGTGCTCCTACGCTTCAGTGTTAAACACCAGTCAGTTGTGTGGTAGGCGGAGCCAGAGACAGCATCCCTTTGATTTAAACCACAACACTTGGGTGACTATTTCACTTGTTGCTCTCTTGTGTGTAGTGTAAATGTGTGTGTGCACAGGTGGGGGTGAGCTGTGCATTGCTCTCTTGTGTGTAGTGTACACGTGTGTGCACAGGTTGGGGTAGGTGTCAGCTTGTGCATGGCAGAGGTTGTCTTCTTTTATTAGTGTCAATCTCATTTTGTGAGACAAGACTCCTTCTTGAATCTGGAACTTCCCGTTTGGCTAAACTGCCTATGTGGCAAGTGCTTGTCTGCTCACCAGGGCTGGGCTTCAGGCATGTGTCGCTGCACTTGGCTTTCCAATGGGTGCTGTGGATCCAAATACAGGGTCTTCATGCTTGTGTAGCAAGCACGCACACTTGGAGCCACTAGCCTCGAACCTGGTTAAGTTTTTGTTTGTTTGTTTGCTTGTGGTTCTGATGTGCTATGCTGTTGTTAATTTCTTTTATAAAATATGGAACTGTTTACTGTGGAAAATACACACTAACCATCTGGGTTGGTGGGAGTGTGCTGTTTAGGATTTGACAACGGGTATTCCAAGAAAGAAAACGGAGGCTCACCAAACACGAGGAAAGGAAGGGTTCTTAGACTCGTGAGTACAGGTGACGTTCCTTGGAGAAGGGAAGGGTCAATACACATGTAAGAGAGGTGGACACCTCAAAACTGAGAGCTCCAGATTTCCCAAGCCCAGCACAACTTCATGTTTGTCTACGTTTCCCATGTTTCCTGGAACTCTGAGCTGTTTACAGAGTCAGGAGAATTTTTGCTGTGACATGAAGTAATCTGTCCCCGGGGAGCCCCCAAGATAGCTGAGTTCTAGAGACTTCCAGAAACAACAGTTTTAGCTTTCTGGGGACTTGTTTTGCTGTTGTGGGTTCCTCTGCTGGAGAAGCTATAGAACAGAGCTGGAGTTTTTCAGGTTTGCTGCATGGGAACACTCAACCCCATGCAGAATGAACCCTGCTATAAAAACCTACAAGACAGCTTCAAAATGTTCCTCACTGAGACCAAAATACTACGTTTTAAATTCCCTCTCCACCAGCAATTTATTTCAGATCTTCTGGGACAAAAGAGAACAAATGGGAATCCCACAACGGAAACAACTTGATAAGGCCGATTCTCTGTTTTTACTAATTCTATCAACTACTATTTAACTTATTAGATTACTAAAGCTTAGGAGATGCAACAGTTTCTCATGAGCATCCTATAGTGTAAGATGCCACGGATTGGAACAAATTTATTACTGAGTTCTGTGTCAGTGCTCAGTAGCTTGTATGAGGTTCCAGGAGATTCCAGAAATGTCAAGTCCTCCAAGAGAAAGAGCCATGCTGGAAGTAAAGGTAGATTGTGCTGGTCCTAACGTTGGTGGCAAAGGCATGTCATGCTTTTTCTGACACGGGCATTCTTACATGTTGATGTGCCAATCAGTGGATTTTGAGTAAAGGAGTCCAGGGAAGAGGGAACCCTAGAGCGCAATGGGGAGACCCTGTGACTGGAGATGCCAGAGAGGAAGCCCTTTCCCTGACAGGAGCGTTCTATGTGGGGAAGGCAATAGGAGGATGATCTGAGTTTACCGAAGGGAATGTGTGCCTCAGATGCTGTGATTTCAGCAAGATCCAGCTCTGGGGCTATGGGCTCTTATCGCCTGTGATGTATTCCCCAGACACCTACCAGGGCGAGTGAGATGCAGTGCCGGGTGCAGGGGATGAAATTCACAGAAGTTAGGCACAGCTCTCCTGTTGGAACCTCACCAAGAGACCTGGGAAAAAGAAAATCTGCCTGTGTGCTCAGCAACCACCACCAGAATGCCCAGCGCACGCGGGGAGCAGCGAGGCCTTCCTCCACTGCAGGCTGCAAGGTTCCAGGTCAGATGCCGAATAAACTCCTCCCCCACTCAAGCATCTTCTTGTTAGGTATTTCCTCATAGAGACAAGACAGCAACTAACTTGGACAGTGAAGGAGGCCATCTCTTTCCTTTTGGCTTACACACCATAGGAACCCAATCCTGAGACTTCATGAGTGGGTGTGGAAAGAAAAGGGCAGGAGTGTGGGTGGGAGAGCAAGGAAAGAGATGGGCAGAGAGCACAGGGGGAGGAGGGGCGGACTTGGCTCCTTCTGCCTCCTCTGCCACTGGACAGACCTCAGCCCCACACCCCTGCCTCCCCCTCCCCCAACACCCTTCTTCCCACCAAGGCGTCTGAACTGAGACTGTCATCATACCTCCTGGACCTGAGCTAATCCGAGGAGAGGATTAGCTGGTGGAACACATAACACACAAATCCAGCAACATTTCTATTCACAGGAGACCTGCCTGAGGTGGGGTAGGGACTCCCACCCCTCTCTCCCCCGCACGCAGAGGGAGAGAGCTTCCCACTGAGAGGTGCAGGTTGAAATGGGATCAACAGGAACTGTTGATTTCCACTTCTCAGGTTCCTTTAGTTCCCAGGCTTCCCTTGCTGTGCCCTTGCTGCCATAACCAGAGCAGTCATGACAGTCTGGGTAAGAAACTAAGATACCTCAGTTTCTTCCACAGAGTCCCCATCCCTTATCCTCAGAGTTTAACCCACAGCACATATGAAAACAACCAGTGGGAAGGAAAAACAAGAATCCAGCTGGGCTTTGCCCAGAAATGTTAACATAGTCCCTTCCGTAGGCTCCAGAGATGTCATCCATGTAAGAGTGTCTGCATGCCAGGAAGTGCTGGCATGCTTCGGTAGACCTGATTCCCACTGAGGTAAAGAACAGGAGAATACACACACGTGGCTACCAATCAATGCCCTTGTAAAGTGCTCACCATCAGGGGTCCTGTGCTCTTCATGCCTCTTGCTTTGTGTGAGTCTGTGTGTGTGAGTCAGTGTGTATGTGCCTGTCTCTGTGGTGTGTGTGTGTGTGTGTGTGTGTGAGAGAGAGAGAGAGAGAGAGAGACAGAGACAGAGACAGAGACAGAGACACAGACACAGAGAGAGACAGAGAGACAGAGATAGAGACAGAGAGAGAGACAGAGAGAGACAGAGACAGAGAGAGAGTCAGTGTGTATTTGTCTCTGTGGTGTGTGTGTGTGTGAGAGAGAGAGAGAGACAGAGAGACAGAGAGACAGAGAGACAGAGAGACACACAGAGAGAGTCAGTGTGTATGTGTCCGTCTGTGTCTGTGTGCATGCAGTCTCTCTCTCTCTCTCCCTCTCTCTCTCTCTCTCTCTCTCTCTCTGTGTGTGTGTGTGTGTGTGTGTGTGTGTGTGCATATACAGACCCAGAGATGTATGCTTGGAACATCACCTGTCACAGCCTCATTTCCTAGGACTTATGCTAAAGTAGATGTAGATAAATCAAAAGTTCTCAGGAGCTCCTCCCGCTGTCCCGGCAGGATGGGGGAGCCGCCTGTGCTGAGTCTGACAGACACCCACTCAGCCTGGCCGGCTGCAGGCTATCTCAGGCCATATCCCAACGTGGCTGCTTGCCCAGTCACAGGCTGAGCAGCTTGCCTCCCTGGACAGGAAGGAAGCACACTGAAAAGCAGGACAGGCTTCTTGCCCGCACTGGGGGCGGACTTGGGAATCTTCCTCCTGTCCCATCTCTCATTGGAGAGCACAGTAAAGTCACAAAATGACAGACACACAAATCTGGACCCTCCACAGTCCAGTCAGACTTTATTGTGTTCTCAGAAGCAGCCGCCGCTCTTGACTTCCTGTGATCACATGCTTGCTAATGGCTCTTGGTAAAAGCCAGCTCTCCCAGTGCACAGCTTTGCCGCACGTGGACTCAATTAAGAACAGGGACTGTTTTCATGTGTAGACCTCAGCCAATGCCAAAACAAACGAACCTTAAATACTGCTGGACTCATGTGGCCGCCCATCTCTTCCCTTCCTTGTCCTCACAGGAGACAATGGGTGACAGTGAAAGAGAGTGAATGTCAAAATGTCAGGGACTTGAGATCCCACCTAGGTGAAGTGTTAGGTCACCTCAGAACCTCACAAGTTGGCCCATTGGAGCACTCTTTTTGTATTTCCACTACTCTGGCTTAGGGATGTCACTTTACAGTGTGTGTCCATGGCTGAGAAAAACCTCTTCCTTCTTGCTCTTTTAAATACTTTTAAAACCCTTCACCTAGACTTCCCCAGTTCCTGGAGGGACACACTCAGAATGTGTTTTCAAGACACAGTACCTCAGAAAGCTCGAAGACCTCATTGTGTTGTTATTTAAAATATAGTATGACCATTGTACATTTTTCCCAGGGTAACCCCAATAATGAAACAAAGGGTGGGGTGGGCGTTCACTTAAAAACTGCATTTGTGTTCATCTAAACTTAAGTAGACTGGGTGTCCTGCTTTTTTTGTTTTATTTGGTTTGGCAACTCAGCGCAAGTCCGCTCATTGGATAATAGGACCCTTTGAACATACAGTTGAACCTATCCTAGACAGTTCCTTTGAACTGTTTTATTGCTTAACTGCTTCTAAATATGAGACACCAGAAGTGATTGTTCCAACTAACTCACCTGACGTGATGACAATTGCTATCAGATCAGAGGAGGCCACCATTACTAAGCTGTGTTGAGAATCTGGACACTGTTTCTAACTTATTTCCTAGTAAGTTCAAGACATACCAAAACAACGGGGAGAAATTTCAATTCTGCCATGCAACTTTCTAGATCATTCAGTCAGAGAATCTTGAGTACAAAGAAGATTACTGTGTTTTTTTGGTTGTTGTTGTTGTTTTTAATCATGAGAGCTAGAGTCAGGAAAAGTGCCTTCCTTGGCAGAGTAGTGACAAAAGATAATTTCCCCTTGCTTGTTCCGAATTCACAGTGTTATAGAGTACAGAGACTGGGCGGTGTGAGGGATTTAGGACTTACAAACTTCCTTTCCAAATTCACATGCCAATGTCAATGGAGCCTGCTTCTAGTGTGCAAACATTCCCAGATCCAGCACTCAAGATCTAAAATTAAACTAAATGATCATCAGTCCGAGAGGCTCTATGACGGGAGGACCTCTGAGTCAGCAAGAGGCATAGGCCCGGGTCTCAGCTCCTCCTCTACAAAACGTCCCAACCAGGAGCTGGGAACTACCCTCACCAGGGAGTGGGACACTATAGCCAGGATTCAGTACTCAAAGGGGACAGAGTAATTCCTTGGAGTGACTTTTGGGAGCACCTTCGTCTCACTGCCCCCTGGATCACTGCTGCCTGCTCACATGGAGCACCTCCTGGGAAACTCTGAGCAATGCTTTATTTAGAAGGCACTCAGCCTGTGAGTCATGCGACATTCTGCTGTTTTTCTTCTTCAGTCTTCCTGCTTCCATAAACATTTATGTGAAGACAGGATGTTTCACTGGGTTTCCAGAACCATCTGCCACAGCTGCTCACTCTCCACCTGAAGTCATCAACTTTCACAAAAAAGAAAGAAAGAAATGCTCCTCGTTTGTTTTCCAATGTTGATAAAAACCTATAGTCACCACATACATAAATTGGAAAGACAAGAGCTGGCCCTTGGGCAGAATGGCCTCTTTGCTCAGTGGGTTCTCATGAGCCCAGGGAATCCTTGAGAGTAGTTGTTTCACATTGGCGAGAGGCCTGTGGGCAGAGGCACAGTTTTTGTGACATTGGTGAGATTCCAAACCAGAGAAATCACCAAGGACTTTGTCTCCCTCAGGACCCTTGGGAAATTATTCATTTTATTTTGGGGGGAAGGGATGGGAAGCATCAGGAATTGTAGGAAACAGGCTAGAACTTTCCACTCATATTTTCCTTTAAAAATTCACACTTCAGGCAAGCCCATAAGTAGCTATTTATTGAAATAGAATTCTCCAGACCTAAGACTTCTGGTATGATCTGGTTTGGTCTTGCTCCAGGCTTTTAAACATTTGAGAGAAAGACAAATTCTTGTTCTCTCTCTCTCTCTCTCTCTCTCTCTCTCTCTCTCTCTCCCACAACATGCCTTTCTTGATTGCAGCTTCCCAGCATCCAGTTTTACAACAAGCAGCAGCCAGAAGTTTGTCATTTTTGTGTTTCCTCCAATGCAGAGTCATCTATTTTCCTTTTGGTTACTTCCCTCTGTGTTCTCATCGCCCCTGGCCTCCAGTGCATAAGAACGCTGGAGCCATTTTCCCTGGTTGTTGACTATGTCACTTCTCTCCATCAAGGCGATGGAAAATCTGTGTTGCCGAGAATGCATTGCTTAAGAGTGGGGACGTATCCTGTACTTCTCTGTGTTCATTAAGTGCTGTTCCTAAGTGGGGATCTTTGGAGTTGAGGACAGCGTTAGAATGCAGAGGTGGGTGTGAGCTAAAAGCCAGCCACCTGAGTTTAGACCTCCATTCCGTTTCATCCCAGCTATGTGGATGTAGGGAAGAAGGCTCGTGCTAGGGGAGATTCGCTCTGTTTCTTGTTTAGCCATCTCTGAAATGAACCTAAGAATGGTACCTAGTTCCTAGAGGTTTTTTTTTTTTTTTTTTTTTTTTTTTTTTTTTTGAGGGTTAGAGAAGATGCTTTTAGTCCTTAGAGTGATACTCAGCACACAGTACTTACAGCAAAAAGTTTGCTATTGTTACTGTTGAGCATTTGGGTCTGAGAGAAGATACTCAAGGGGTGACCACAGTGACTTTGCACACCATGATGGTGAAGGAATGGATGCTATTGAAATGCATTCCTTTGATAAAACCTTGATGAGCCCTTTCTCTGTGCTAAGTGCTGCAGAAAGTGCTTCAGGTAGCTTAGAGCTTTGAGGGAAAGGTGAGGGTGTGGTGGATGGGACAAGACGTCTTGATTGGAGAGCTTTTGGGTGGAGTCCAGTTCCATTAGAGGGAAAAGACTAACTGGGCAGGTGGGTCCTCTCACTGGTGAGTTGGGAACAAACACTAAGTCATTAGCAAAAGCAATGGTGAAGGGCTGGGGAGATGGTTCTGTCAGGAAAGTATTTGCTATGCACGAGTAAGGAGCTGGGTTCAAAGCCCAGAACACACACTAAAATGCATTTATAATCCAAGCACTGTGAGGAAGAGACAGGTTTGAGAAGTATTACTGAAGTCCTTTGGATAGCCAGAGTTGGCTCATGAGCAGCTGCCCTGCCCCCTGGCACTTTCTGGGCAGCCATCCAACCTAGCTTACTCAGCAAGTTCCAGGCCAGTGAGAGACCCTGTCTCCAATAAAGGAAATGTGTGTGACAGCAGAGGAAAGACCCTGAAGTTATCCTCTGACATGCACACACACAAGCACATGTGCGGCACCCACGTGGACATGTAGACATACACAAACGCATCCATAGTAAGAACTGGATCCTTCAGACATATTTTCTCCTGTGGTGCACGTGTCTGAGAGGGGAATGGAAGAACAATGGTCTGAGGGGTCAGCCTCAAAGGCCAGGAGGGCTGGTGGACTTGGAGACAGTTGCTTACAACAAACCCTTGCCAGACATCTCTAGAGTCCTGTCCTGTGTGGTGTTTCTCCAGGCCACTGTCCATACCTTTTCTAAAAGTCACTTTCTGAAACAAGTCATTAAAAAAGAAAGCAGAAATAGAGTGAAAAATCACTGGCTTAGGCATGAAGGTCATTAATGTTCCTTGAATTGACTCAGTTGCGGGTGTGATTTTGGCTGTCAATTTGACACAAACTGGAGTCACCTGGGAGGAGGGACCCTCACCTCCTGAATTGATTCCATCAGCCTGGCCTGTGAGCATGCCTATGGGGAATTGTCTAGATTGATGTAGGAGGGTGTCCCGTCCACTGTGGGCAGGACCATCCCTAGGTGGGTAGGCTTGGGTAAGAAAGCAACTTGAACAAACTGTTAAGACAGCTCTTCTCTTTGGTTTCTACTTCAAGATCCTGCCTTGATCTTGCCTTGGTCCCTTGGTGGACTGTAACAAACAAAATGAAGGGAACCCTGTACCCCACTAAATTGCTTTTGGCCATGGTATTTAACACAGCAACAGAAAG